CTCTCTCTTCATCTTGGTCCACATAACTATCTTGTTTCGTCCTTCCCGATTACAAATTCTCTTCAAGTTCTCCCACCATAGAGATGCATTTTTTTTTAATTTGATGGCTACTAATTTGACGATTCGGTTCGCCGGCACTTCCTTTAACTCAAGAATCCTCTTAACAATATGCAGCCAATTAAAGAATTCATCTGGGTCCATTCGGCCTTCAAATTCAGGAAGTTCCATTTTGATTCCGCAATCTGGCGGTGCCATTCTTCTACGCCTGTGCAATAAGCCTCCCGTCTCATCCTTGCTTGATGTTTCTTGATGGAACGGATTGACTTCCTCCACTTCTTCTTCTTGCCTTCCTCTTGCCTCTCTTTGTTCAAATCTAGCCAATCTTTGTTGGAGCTGGGCGATCTCACGTTGCAGATCCTCGATCACCACCTCTAGAATGGGACGCTACACATTATGATGAGGCGGCATGATTTTCGAGCTCTGATACCACTTAACGCCGCTCCAGCCAGGAAAGCTTCACTCCGAAGGAAGAAACTCTCCTTACGAACTAAACAAGACACCACCACTTGACATCTCAGGATACAAGACATAATGGACAAGAAGTGAATACAAACTCCAAAAAAGTGATTTATTAGTGTCACCAGGACTTATTTATACATCACCACTTACTAACAAAGAAATTAAAAGAAAACAATTATTAACTACTAATAGCATCATTAGCTTAATATAACAAGCGCTCGGGCGTCACATCTACTCTCATAACATGGGAAGGCTGATGTTTTATGTGATCAAACCATCTAAGGTGACTCTCTCTAATCTTATCTACCATTGGAGCTACCCCCATGCACACTAAAAAATATGGATAGAGGGAAGGAAACTTGATGTGGATGCAATAATAGAGAGGGAGTGGTAGGGGTTGGAAAGACAAAGATAGTGAATACCACTCTTCATCTAATCAATGCGAATGAAGGTTAGTGGTGGAGTGGGATGCGGTGTATAGCATTGCACCTCTCATCATACTCACTTGGTGTGGGGAGAGGGGGATCATAGGGAGTAAGAATCATATACCTCATGAAATTTATAGTTTTATATTATTTCAACCAAATAAATTAATCTTTTTAACTTATTTGAGAAAAAGCTAAAATGATGTGATACAAACAGGAATTGCAAGAATTGATAAAATATGGTAGTAAAGCTTACCACTTTAAGGTTAATCTATCACAAGAATTAACTTTAAGGATTTTCAATTTAAGTTTGATGTGGCATGCAATTACAAGCTAGGAGAATAAAATAATTAAATAATATCAAAATTACTGTAAATATAGTTATGCCGTAATAATAATCCACGGTTTAATATTTAAAATATTCACCTAGAGTTTTCTCTCACTCATGCTCTAAGAAAGGTTTTAGTGGAGAGAGAATTTCAGCAATCCAAGCGATGCCACCAAAAGAGATAGGACACCAACGGTTTTGATCCACGGAAAGGTAATTGGAGAAGGTGACACAGGTGGATGTCCAATGAGTTGCCACTGTCCAGAGGGTCGTTGCTCGTCGATAGTCTCGGCTAGGTGGAATAGTATACGGTCGACGTAGTCATCGGCGAAGTCTTCTATCTCTCAGTTGGGGTAGAAGAACGGCGACTGAAGAATATATATTTGCCCTTGGGAATCGTAAGCGAAGCCGTGGTCTACTTCAGGATCGGCCATCCATAGATAAAGGAGCTTCCTCTCTAGGGGATCCTTGAGGGTCGACGGCTTGTGAAGGATG